GTTTTTGTAAGTGATTATCAGGATCAAAATGTTTCCAGAAAGAGAAACAAGAAGTATGAGAGAATAAGCCAATGCTTTGAAGAATACTTCAGTCCGGTTGTTTTCTCTCTCAAAACATTCTCGGTCGTCTGAAATCTCAGCATCCTCCGATATGTTTGCCGAAGCGTTTCCACAGCCAAGTTGTTCCAAGGTACAATTAGAAAACATCGTAATACTCTAGATTAATAAGCAACGAATGTCCTTGCAAAGCTCTTCCCGCCTGCTTATCGAAGTTGCGCTCACGAAGCTTTGGTATCACATCTGAGTCCGCTTTGGTATGCCGTTCTTACTTATACACTTATTTCTCATTAATCTGTACGTGACATGGCTTTGAGCTTCTTGCAAATCACCTGCTTTTGTCATGAAGGCATATTCATTCCGCGATAAGAAATTGTAGTTTTACCAGAACATATATATTTCTTATATATAGACGGCTGTCTATTTTTTGTTTTACTGCCTAATGGAATTGTCCTTTTTATCTGTCGTTTTTTCAAGGACAGATTTTTACTATGACTTCTTAAGTATATATTCCATTCGATAACTACAGGGCGACCATAAGCGCCGCTCATAAATGTCTTCTTTGCATGACAAAGGGTCAATTGCTTAAAAGGCAGTATTGTAAGCGTTGTTGAGGAAGAGTTGTCTCTTTCACCCTAGTTACACAGCAAGATGCCCTTAGATGATGAGCCGATGGCGCCATGAAACTAATCCGTGGCGCAAAGTAATTACGCAGTTTCCTTTGTCATGCCCGATTCTAGCTGACTGGGATAAACTGATTTTTGAGATAAAAGACAGGAAGTTTGTTTGAAAAATAGACGGTTAATAAATTGTTTTCTGACTCCTAATATTTCTTGAGAGCGATATTCGCGAAGCTCCAATGTTTCCAATGTTGGATTCAGGTTAGCGTCCTGTGTATTTTATTTTTTATCCCTCACGGCCTGAATTTTATGAAGCCATAAAGCCCAACTAACCCCTGATTGACGTAAGTAATGCATTTATCATTTTCAACGCCATCTCACTGACTCCTTAACTGCGTGAAGTCAGGGTAAGTTTGGAATTTTGTGTGCTTGATCATGAACTTTTTCTCTGTCAAAAGTAAAATGGTGCAGGTGTC